GAACGCGGTCGGTCACACATCGGGGCTCCATTTCTCCGGGAACGCCACACCCATCCTGGCCGAGCCAGGAAATTCTTCCTCCTTGCGTATCCCCACCAGCCCGTTCAGAAACCCTGCCCATGAGAGTTGAAGGGAACATGATCGACCCACGAACCCGGAAAGGAATCTAGACATGTAAGGCATGGCAACTTTTCAAAGGCACTTGATTCTTAGGCTTACGCCACACCGCCGACCCCTTGTTTATGCCAATCTGGGGGTAGTAGAAGCCGCGAAGGGGTGAAAAGCGAGTTTTGGAGCCACTTGGGGGCCGTTTCGGAGCCTCTGGGGTGCTTCTTGGGGGTTCCTTGGGGCGTCTGGGCGGCCTCGTGAGGGCCTCTGGGGGCCTCTTGGGGCACTCTTGGGGCCCCCTGGGGCTCCTGGGGGCAGAAAGCTAGAGTTTCAACATGTTTGGTCGCCCTCTTGGGCCCCTCTTGGTGCCGTCTTGGAGCCCTCTTGGGCCGTCTTGGGGACCTCTTGGGCCGTGTTGGGGCCGTCTTGGGCCGTCTGGAGGCCGTCTTGGGGGCCTCTTGGGCCATCTTGGGGCTTTCTTGGGGGCCTCTTTGGCCGTCTTGGAGCGTCGGGAAGCCGAAAAGGCGGAAAAGCAAAAAACATAGAAAAACACTATGGAAAATCAACAATTTTAGACTCTTGGGGTCCTCTTGGGAGGTTTGTTTGGGACCTCGGGGGCCGTCTTGGAGACCTCTTGGCCCGTCTTGGGGCCATCTTGGGCGTCTTGGAGCGGTCGTTTGGCGTCTCGGGGCCTTCGTGGGCCGTCTTGGAGGCCTCTTGGGGGCTTCTTGGCCCGTCTTGAGGCCCTCTTGGGCCCGGAAAAGCCCCGTGAACCGCTCGTCCCGGCCGTGCTGCGCTCGTGCCGGACCCCCCCCCCCCTCCAAATCGACCGGACCGGGCTCCCGGGGGAGGGGTTTGGGGAGGGGGAAGCATCTCACACGCCGATGATCCCCAAGGGGTCGGCGGATTGGGCGACGGGCAAACGCAATGTTGAGTGTATCGATCTTGATGTACCGTGCCGAGGGCTGTGCTGTGCAGCGCCGTGCTGAATTGCGATGTGCCATGCCGCGATTGTGCTCTGTAGCGTTGTGGATCGAGTCCTCCTTTGCATCCGAGTCCTGACCGAACTGATCTGGATCTTAAGCTCGAGCTGTCTCAGCACATAGTAGCTGCCCCAGAGCTAATTGACAGGGGAACATTCCAGGAGGACGCGCCGCGGAACGTCCCAAGGGACGCGCCAGGCGACGTGCCAAGGGACGTGCCACGGGGACGCACCGCGGGACGTGCCGAGGGGACGCGCTACGGAACGTGCCAATGGACGTGCCACGGGACGTGCCAGGGGACGCGCCGCGCGACGTGACAGGGGGACTCGCCACGGGACGCGCCACGGAACGTGCCAGGTTGCAATGCTGAGTGTCTCGATTTTGATGTCCCGTGCCGAGGGCTGTGCTGTGCTGCGCTGTGCTGAATGCGATGTGCCATGCCGCGATTTTGCTCTATAGCGTTGTGGATCGAGTCCTCCTTTGCATCCGAGTCCTGAGCGAACTGATCTGGATCTTAAGCTCGAGCTGCCTCAGCACATAGTAGCTGCCCCAGAGCTAATTGACAGGGGAACATGCCAGGAGGACGCGCCGCGGAACGTCCCAAGTGACGCGCAAGGCGACGTGCCAGGGGACTTGCCACGGGGACGCACCGCGGGACGTGCCGAGGGGACGCGCTACGGAACGTTAAAATGCGTGGTCCTTGTTCGGGGCAACCATGTTAGATATCCCCCTGGATGGCCTGGACACCTAAGAACACATGGTGCCAGCTCAGGAAACCATTGCTATATACACTCCTGAATAGCCTGGGCTCGTTACAACACGTGGTCCTTGCTCAGAACAATCAGGTTAGATACCCCCCTGGGTGGCCTGGATACGTAAAAAACATGTGGTTCCAGCTCAGGACCACCATGTTAGATACCCTCCTGGGTGGCCTGGACACGTAAAAACATATGGTTCCAGCTCGGGGCCACCATGTGAGATACCCCCTTGGGTGGCCTGCACATGTAAAAACACGTGGTCCAGCCCACCCAGGGGGGGATTTCCAACATGCGGTCGTCTGGAGCGCAGGAGGTCCCAGGAACGCCCAGAGGCGCCTGGAGGTCAAAAAGTAAACGAACCGATACCAAATACAAATAAACTCTCGACGTTCCGTTCCGAGTCCCAGGAAGGATCCATGAGGCCCATTTTAGATACCTTTTGAATGGCCTGGACACGTGAAAACACATGGTTCCAGCTCGGGACCACCATGTTAGATACCCCCTTGGGTGGCGTGGACACGTGAAAACACGCAGTTCCAGCTCGGGACCACCATGTTAGATACTCATTTGGGTGGCCTGCACACGTGAAAACGCGTGGTTTCAGCGAGAGACCACCATGTTAGATACCCCTTGGGTGGCCTGGGCACGTGAAAACACGTGGTTCCAGCTCGTGACCACCATGTTAGATAACTCATGGGTGGCTTGGACACGTAAAAGCACGCGGTTCCAGCTCAGGACCACCATGTTAGATACCCCCTTGGGTGGCGTGTACACGTGAAAACACCCGGTTCCAGCGCGGGGCCACCATGTAAGATACACCCTCTGGGCGACTTGGGCACGTGAAAACACATGGATACAGCGCGGGACCCTCTTAGACACCCCCTGGATGGCCTCGACAGGTCAAACACGTGGTTCCAGCTCGGGACCATTATGTTAGATACCCACCTGGGTGGCCTGAATACGTGAAAACACGTGGCTCCAGCGCGGGACCACCATGTTAGATACACACCTGTGTGGCTAGGATACGTGAAAACGTGGTACTATCTCGGGACCACCATGTTAGATGCCCATGTTGGTGCCTTCGACTCGTGAAGCGACGTGGTTCCAGCTCGGGCAGAACATGTCATACACCCCCCTGTGTGGCCAATGAAATCCTAGAAAAACAAGCGAACTTGTCAAAACATCCTCGAAATTCCTGCGCGCTGGACGCGGCACGCGCGAGATATCCTCGGAATTCCTGCGAGCGGGAAGTAAAAGCAATCATTTCGCCTGAGGCATCCTCTGAATTCTGGCCCCCCACGAGGCCCCCGCTCGAGACATCCCCCAACTCTGCAAAACCAGCGTTTCACTCGAGACACCCTCAACAAATTCTAATAACAAGCGTTTCGCCCGAGACATCCTCAAAAATAATTCCGCCTGCCTCCTTCAAACTTGTCATTCATCGCAAAATAATCCCGCCGGCCTCCTTCAAGTCGTCAAAACCGGGGTAACAATACTAAAAGAGAACCCTGGGCCGGCGCCCTTTCCGGGAAAAAGAACGATGAGACAAAGACAGTGAAACAAAGCGGGCAAGAGGATGGCCTTGGAAGGCTTCTTCGGCCATCCCTTGGGCCCGCGGGGGTGCGAGGAGAGGAGGAGGAGGAGGAGGAGGAAGAGGAGGAGGAGGAGGAGGAGGAGGAGGAGGAGGCAAACCACCTCTTGGGGCCCCCGTGGGACGTTCATGGTCCTTCTGCAGTAACGCAGTACGGAGCCGCTCGGAACGCAGTAACGAGACCAATCTTCTGCATGCCCACAAGAACCTGGGGCTCCCCCTCACTTGCCTTGAGTTTGAAGTTTCGCTGGACGAAGTTCGCGAAGAAACTTCGCTCCATTTTTTCCATTCTGCCAATTTCAGCCTTATCATCGTCCTCCCCCTCCTCGTCCTCTTCGTCTTCCAACTCCTCCTGCTCCACTTCCTGCTCTTCCTCCTCCTCTTCCTGTTCTCCTTCTCTAAACTCCTCCTCGTCCTCCCCCGCCGCATCCGTTTACCTCCGCGGGGACGGGCGGGGGAGAGAGGACAAGCAAGAGAAAGCGGAGAGGGTGGATGGGGCGTTGGAAGGAAGGATACCTTGGGGTGGAAGGTGGTAGGGATGGAAGTTGATCTTGGCCAACCTCTACCTATCCAACCCGCCGGTCCCCCCCTCTGGATCTCCCAGGTTGAGTGCCCAGGACGTGTATCGAAGATGACGAGGACGTTGGCAAGGGGGGAGGAGTATTACTGACTGGGTGTCCCATGCACTCGCTGGTCAGTTTCATGGCACCGTGGGCTGGGAAGGCGCCACAACGAATGCAACATGATCGACCCAGTAACCCAGAAAGGAATTTAGAAACGCGAGGCATGGCTACGTTTTCAATACATTTGATTTGGCGACAGGCAATTGCAATGCTCAAGGTATCGATCGTGATGTACCGTGCGAAGGCTTGTGCTGTGCTGCGCTGTGCCGTGCTGAAACGACGTGTGTCATGCCGCAATAAAGTGCGTTGTGCTCTATAACGCTGTGGATCCAGTCGCCCTTCGCATCCGCATCCTGACCGAACTGATCTAGATCTTGAGCTCGAGCTGCCTGAACGTACAGCTGGCCCAGAACTGGTTGCAGTCGCAATGCGTGGGACGCTCAATCAGCTCGAGAGCTCGAGATCCTACTCGGTTCCGAGGCGGGGCGAGACGACACGGGGCGCAGGGCGCATGGACGCTCCTCGGAATGCGCCGGGGGCGCACCGGGGGATGCGCCAAGGGACGTGTCAGGGCGGACGTGGCAGGGGACGCGCCACGGAACGGGCAGGGAGAGCGCCAGGGGACAGGCCAGGGAGCGCGACAGAGGACGAGCCGGGGGACGCCGAGGTGGGAGGGGCGTACGCCGTCCCGCTCTGGGGCGTCAGGACCCACGTGTGTTCACGCTGATCCCGTCCTGGGGCGCCAGGGACCCACGTGTTTTCACGTGTCCAGGCCACCCAGGGACGGACATCTAACGTGTGGTCGTGGAAACACGTGGTTCCAGCCCGGGGCCACAATGTTAGATATTAGCTTGGATGGCCTGGACACGTAAAACGTAAAAACACACGGCTCGAGCTCGGGACCACCATGTTAGACGCCCTTGGGTGGTCCGGACAC